TATATTCCCCTAACCACTCATAATAACTTTCTCACCAAATTCTCACATAATATTATCTATTCCTTATTCAAAATCAAAATTTATAACCTCTCCACATCTCTATTTTCATTTTTGTCTCATCCCCCACTCAAAAAGTTTAAAAACTTCATTCTTTAAGTTCATCTTCTCCAAATTTCACTAACCCTCATCAATGGCTTTAAGAATGAAAAGAAAGGCTACAACTGCAGAAAAGGGAAAAGGAATGACCTCTTCATCCTCTGGCACTCCTCTCATTCTCAAATACCTAACAAATGAGGAAGTTGAAAGATTTGAGCAATTCTTTCACAAGAAACATGTTCAAGTACCAAAATATGGTGATCTCTCTACTTTTCCTAATAAGTGTTTTTTATTTTCAAAACACTCTAGTTTATCTAAAATTAGGCTCTGTTATTGCTTCCTCTGGACCCTATTATCCAGACTTGGTTAAGTTGTTTTTATAAATATGCATGTTGATGATGGAAAATTTACTACCTCTATTTTGAGTGAGAAGATTGTGTTGACTACCAAACGCCTTGGGAAAATTTTAGACGTTCTTTATTCCGATAGTCTTCTATATGATAGAGAGGATGAAACATGGAAGAACTATAACAAGCGTGAGTTTTATTATAGTATCGGTAGGATGAACGAAACGAAATTTCATGAGAAACAAGTAAGATCTCTAGGTGGGGTAGAACCGTCACGAGGGTCGTAGTCGGCTGACATTTTCTACATTGATGATCAGTTGCTTCATTATTTCTTTGCGTATATTTTATTTCCGAGGAATGGAAATCATTGTAATGTTACGGGAATTGAGATGCAAGTATTGTATGCCATTAAGAATGACATCAAAGTTAATTGGTCTTGGTTGATTTTGAATCACATGTTAGCCCACACCACTAAGTCAAAACCTCTACCATATGCATGGTTTATAACTCAGATATTGCAACACTATAACATTGAGTTGGATGGTTTTGAGTATAGTTTGATGGACACCAATGCACATAAGATAACTATAAAAAAATATGGATAATAGGATGTGTGTTCGTTATGATTCAGAATCACAATCTATCACATATATTGGTGAAGATAGTATAGAAAATGAAGACAATGTGCAAGATGTTGAAGGTGGTGAAGAAGTCCCTCCTCCATATGGTTCAAGTGGTCCAACCCAATAAGCTCTCTTTCACTACATGACCATTCAATTTTCTAATCTTAACTCCACCATGATTGATCATTGGACTTCTATTCATAAATCTCTCAAAATTATGTAAACACCACCAACCAAATCAATGAGTTTAGGACCGATATGAATCAACAATTCTCACACCTTTACTCTCATATCCACATTCCACCTTATGACCCAAAAAAACCCGGCTGCCCCTATTCCTATGATGACTCCAATCCAAAATCAATTTCCACACCAAGGTCTTAGTTACTACAACAACAACAACACCAACAATGATATGGATCAAACTTGATGTGTTATGTTTCATTTGTAGATTCTATGTTTTTTTTATGTTGCTTTTAAATCATGTCCCATGTTGTTTGAATTATTAAGCTTTCTAAGTAAGGTACTTGGTACCAAAATTCTATTGTGTTGTTTCTTTCATCTCTATATACATGTTTGATTGTGTTGTTTCTTTTAACTTGCGTCATTTTTAAATTATTTTTCACCAATATTTCCATTCTTTTTTATAATGTCAAAAGGGGAGAAAGATTTTATGTTTGTATATTTCCTTGCTTTTAAGTTTTAAAGGTACAAATGCTCCTTCAAGATGAACAAAGTAAAATACTTCTAAGACTCATATGTTAAGGGGGAGTTATGCAACTTAGAGGAAGAAATTTTTCAAAAATTATAAAGCATAAAAGAAGATTGTTTGTCATCATAAAAAAGGGGGAGAATGTGAAATCAAGTTTCTCTATGTTGAACATTGTTTTGATGAAGAAAAAAATCTCTTAATGACAAGAAGTAACAAGAAGGGAAAAAATGATATTCAAGATAAAAACATGTTTTTCAAGACTTTGAATTCAAGCAATTGACATTTTATGGAGGTATAATGACAATTCTTATCAAATACTAAAGTCTTAGATGCTCAATTAAAACAAATATCATTGCATACTTCTCTCATGATCATTACATCTTTAAAAGAATAATTTTTCATTTTTTAACTGATGGAAATTGATTTGCATAGTGATGCAATCGATTTGCACCTGCTTGTTGCGTAAAAAATTGTTGAGTTTTCACTATTTTACACTATGCAAATCGATTTTCATGTTTGTGCAATCGATTGCATACTGAAGGTTTTTGAAAAATTGTTTCGTTGGTCACGTGCAATCGATTTGCACCTGAACAAAATTGAAAATCAATATCTTTCATGACACCTCTTCATGCCACTCTTCATGGAACCTTTTCATTTCATCTTGGCATTTGTTCATGATATTTTTTTTAAAGATATTACCATGTTTCATAAGGGTGTCATGTGCATATAAATACATATTATTTCAAATCACAAATCACCTCTTTCATTCAAAATTTTCAAATTCTAAAAATTCACATTTCAAGTTTTTAACTTTCATTCAAGAAATTTTATGCATACTTTCACATCATCTAAAACAGAAAATTCTTGAGCAATCTAAAACTTTAGTGTTTGTGAATTATTGTTATTGAAAGAGAAGATCAATCTAAGAATTGGTACATTTAAATCTTCATATCAAATACTTGTAAAAATTCAATAACTCTCGTTGTATCACATCTTATTTTCCCATAATTGTTGGATATAAAATTGTGTTATTTGTTGTATCCTTGCTGTCCAGAATTGTTGGAAGCAAGAGGTTCATTTTGAGAGGATTGCTCTCATTTGAACTTAGTGAAAATTCTAAAAGGATTGTCTTTGGTTTGTTAGTGATAGAAAGACTAGGATTAGTCTTGTATAGGTCACAATAATATTAAAAATCTCTTTCATGTTGAAAGGGGACTGGAGTACTCTCGGACTGTGAGGGGAACCAGGATATATCCTTGTGTCGTTTACTTTCCGCACTTTATCGCTTTTATAAATTAGTAATAATTCAGGAAAGAAAACTCAACATAAGATAAAACTCGAAAAAAATTTCAAAGTGCCTAATTCATCCCTTCTCTTAGGTGCAATCTCTACTTACACAACTAAGCCTTTTATACCACCAAGATCTACAACAAGACTGAGTGCAACCAAGACTGCTGTTGGACCAACAACAAAGAGAACAACGCCAACTAAAATATCAACACCAACTTGAAAAATTTAGTTTAAGTCTGTGGCATTTTGTTATGTTCACTTTGTTAGTTTAAGTTTGAACCTTTAGCATTTTGTTATGTTCACTTTGTTATCTGTTATCTGTCACAAGCTATGACTTGCGTATTTTGGCTATGACTTATGTAATCTGTCACAATCTATGACATGTATTTTGGGTATCACTTATGTAATCTGTCACAAGCTATGACTTACGCACGTTGGTTATGAGTTATGGAACAAATGTTATCATATTTTGAATTATGGAACATATTTTGGCATTTTGAATTATGGAACATATTATGGAACAAATGTTATCTGAAATGTTATTAGTAACTGATACAACTAATACAACAATGCAAAAACACATCAACAAAATTGTAACAACTGATACAACAGTGCAATACCAAATTCATTCTAAAAATTAGTATTTGTCTATTCATTTCAACTGGTACAAACTGATACAAAATTAAAACTTGTCTATTCATTTCAACTGGTACAAACTGATACACATAAAATGTTTTTCTAATTCATTCTAAAAATTAGTACAATTATAATCATAAACAACATCAAATTCCAAAGTTTTTTCCACTTCATAATTTTCTTCATTTCACTTTCAAGATTGATCAGTTGTTGCCCAAGTTCTTCATTCACCATTTTTCCTTCAGCAATTGCCTTTGATAGCTTTTCAATTCTATCCATAAAAAAATGCTCCTTCTCATCCCTAACATCTTCATAAAACCAACCAAAGTAACTACACCCAGCTTGAATAGATCCTTGAAAAATTCATAGGCTACAAATCAAATAGTTGCAACAACATGTGTTTTCCAAAGTACAAACATCAAATTTACATGAAATATACCTTATAATTAAGACAACCCCATAATTGTTTTTCATAGTTCTTAACAGTTGTTGCCCTTCGAAGAACGATCAGGTCCCCACAATGACATAAGGGTTTTCAACCGGAGCTTATATAAAGATTTGAACCTTCCTTCGAAGAACAACCATCTTATGTGTTTTTCTGTTTCAACAATGACGAAGATCTAATTGATTTCATTCTTGAATCTCTACTTCCATTGCTCTAGCCCTAGGTTGAATTTGTGAAGCAATTTGGGGCTGGTGAACACTTTGACTATCTTAACGAAGAAGACGAACCAATATGCATCTGCCACGTCTGCATACATAAACGGACGTTTGAGGGCCATTGACGACGATGACTAATATGACACCATTTTAAAATTTAAAGGATGCCTTAAATTTTTTTTAAAATTAAGATCTGAAGTAGACTTAAAAGACCAATTTTGATATTTTGGTTTCTATTTACTATGCAATAATTGCATGAAAAGATAAGTTATTCTATTACAACATTTAAAATGCAATTAAGATAAGTTACTCTATTCGACCATTTAAAATGCAATTAACATTTCGACAACACTTGTAGAATCACGACCATGGCATTTAAACACTGGCATACGGTCCCACGCATCACATTCTTTTAAAAAATCAACGGCTAAAAACATCCAGATCACCACTCTCGCAGGATTTGGACACAACTGCTTCTAACCATCCTACATTTCAAAAAAAAAAAAATTGCATTTAGAATATAAACAATTGCGAAAATTAAAATTTCCCATTTTCCTTGCCACACCCTGTTTCGTGAGGTTCATCAACATCTCTCTCTTTCTCTCTCTAACACACATCCTCTCTCTAGAATCGAAGATGGGAAAAGGACCAGGTCTCTACTCCGATATCGGCAAATTAGCCAAAGGTGAAACTATTCTTCCTCGCTCTATCTCTCACAATCTCTGTTATAGATTCGATAACACTTTTCTTGAACCTGAAATCAGAATCGACTCTAATCATTTTGATCTGTTTCTGCTCTTAGATCTTTTGACAAAGGATTACAACTCCGATCAGAAACTCACCGTTAAATCTTTCAGCACCACCGGAGTGGTAAGCTCTTCGAATTTCACATGTTAATTACATTATTAGATGTTAGGTTACTGAATTTCTAGCTGAAATATAGCGTGATCCTAGACGTAGCAGTTTGTTTATTTGCATTGCGACTATCTCTGTATGATTTGTATTTGTTCCACTTTTGGAGGAGCTAAAATTGATTGAGCCGCAGAATTGATTTTGACATGTTTGGATATTTTCAAGTAGAATTGAATGGTGGACTCTAGAAATTATTTAATGTTGAAGATAGAATTTGTAGTTTTTGATTTTTAAGGATGATACTTGGCCTTAAAATTATTTTTCAACTCATGTTCAAACATAAATTACTTTACCTTCGATTTTTTTTAATCAGAATTAATTCATTGAAAATCAATGTGTCACTTCATAACCCTACATATTATGTTAAGTGGTCACCACGTTATGCTGATCCTTATTGTGCAGACAAATTTATCTCTGCAAATAATAAAATGAAATAATATAGGATATTGGATGTCATCACAGATCACTAACTCTACCCCAAATCCAATGCTTCTGTATAAACTTGTTTTGTGCTGTGCTAATTTAGTGGCTTTTTGCTAGTCATAAAAGTGGAGCATGTGGTTTTCAAAACATGTTGGACATGAATACCTACAAACCATCAATTATCCTAGTTGTTGTACAGAAAACAGCCTTTAATATAACATGATTGTTTTGTTTGGACAAAATGGCAATAACTTGGATTCGAATTGGGTTGGGGAGTAATACTATATCAACATTATTTGTGGAGGCAAAAAGAAACTGAGTGTTTAAGTCCAACTAGATTGGTGTAGACTTGGGGATTTTTATAGTTTGATGTAATAGTGCTAAAAAATAGTACTAGGTACTACCCTTGGATGGTGTTTGGAATCAGAAATAGAAGAAACGGATAGAGAGATAGAATCAACGTAGAAAATAGTTTTCAAAGGGGGAACTCCTGACAATCATTGCTGATGAAAGTTATCATGCAAGTTGTGCTGTTTTCATGCCTCAAATACTTGGGCATTGAAATCTGATATATACTATTTAAGTTCATTAGTCGTTTTTAAAACTTGACATACTGACTAGCTTTCTTAGTAGTGTAACTGGTCTTGGAATTGAAACTATCTAACTAGTTGTCCAGCTTCACCAATTAATTATCTGGTATTTGAAATACCGATTCATTATATAAGAAAAATCACTAAAGAAAGGCCAAATATAGACTAGAGGTTGAGAGAAATTGTTTGGTTGTTGAAATTTTATTCGTAAGCATCTAAATAATTGAAAGAACATGATTAAGACTGAGAAAATGCAAAATTGACTGCTGTGATAAGGTGAGGTGAGAAATGTGTAGAGGACAGGGCATAGATTCAATACTCTGTTAACTAATAATACTAATGCAAGGCTGACAAGGTGCACTGATGATCAATTGATTTCTCCAATAAGATGTTTATGTTGAATTTTATAAATGTTTGGAACCCTTTTGAATGGGCAACTCAGTACGGTTGAATTACAAAAATGAGTAGTGTTGCTGTTATACATTTCCATAGTTTCTTTTTGAATTTCTCCTTACATAATGTATACTGCATCTTATTACCTAAAAAAATAGAGAGAACTGACACATGTTGATAGCCATTAAGGCTTTTCAGCGTGGTTTTTCTGAAGGCAATTCATATTAAGTTAATTTTTTATTTTACTGTAATCCCGAACTTTTTATCATCAATTAATGGTTAGTTGCTGTTATACATATCCATAATTCTTTGTAATTTCTCCTCAGACGCATGTTGCATACTGCATGGTATTTACTGGCTAAAATTTTGGGGATAATGGATACATGTTAATAGCATTGAATGCTTTTCAGCTTGGTTGTTCTAAAGGCAATTACATTTAAGTTCACTTTTCATACTGTTATCCTTTTCTCACTTTTCATACTGGCTTTCCATGATCAACAACAACCTACAACACATGAATACAAGTTTATTTTTAATGTAGTATTGCAGTGAATTCATGTTGAATGTGATGTTTTACATCTATGTGGCTGTTTACAGTTTTATTTATCAATTAGGGAGTGGTGTTATCTATTAACAGTATTATTTTTCCTGATTTCCTCCAAGCTGTCTGCGTCTTGAAATTATATGCTCTTTTTAAGTTATTGTCTGGGTTATTGTATTTTTCTGGTTATCATTGTGGCTTTTGTAATACTAATCATGCATGACGGTGCCAATGGTCACTTAAGACCATTTGCTTGAATCAAAGCATGTCTAACATTCACTTCAATAATGGCTTCTTCCTTTTTTCCCTTTCAGGCCCTCACTTCAACTGCTCTGAAGAAAGGAAGACTCTCAACTGGAGATGTGGCAGCACTGTACAAGTATAAGAACACCCTTATTGATGTCAAACTTGACACAGCATCAACTGTGGGTTACTTTGTCTTTTTAGATTATAATGATGTTATACACTCTTAAGTAAATCCTCTTATTTTGTTTTATCTTTTCCAGATCAACACGACCCTCACATTCACCGACCTTTTTCCATCCACGAAGACTAAAGTTTCATTTAAGCTGCCTGATTATAATTCTGGCAAGGTACATAATTATGCCTCTATTTTATGATAAATGACTGGACTGATCTACACTGTTTCTGAAAGTGTCTAATTTGTCTTTGACAGTTAGAGATTCAATACTTCCATGACCATGCTACCATAACCTCTGTCGCTACACTCAATCAATCGCCTATCCTTGATGTTTCTGCTACTTTCGGTACCCCAACCGCCGCAGTTGGTGCTGAGGCAGGCTATGATACTAAATCTGGTCAGTTTACTAAATACAACACTGGGATTAGTTACACGAAAGCCGATTCATCTGCGGCCGTAATCATGTAAGATTCTCCTTTTACCCAGATTTCTGTTAAAAATCTCTTGCACTAGCTCATACAAGCATCAAATTGAAATTGAACATGTTATTTCCTATCAGTGGTGACAAGGGTGACAGCATTAAAGTATCATACCTCCACCATCTAGACAAACTCAAGAAGAGCGCTGCTGTTGTGGATATCACCAGAAGGTTCTCAGCAAATCAGAATACTATTACGGTTGGTGGGTCTTTTGCTATTGACCCTCTGACACAGGCCAAAGTAAGGTTCAACAATTACGGAAAAGTTGGGGGCCTGCTACAGCACGAGATTTTCCCCAAATCAGTGCTGACTATTTCCGGTGAGGTTGATACCAAGGCCTTGGATAAAAATCCCAAATTTGGTTTGGCTATTGATCTCAAACCTTGAAGTTTTCCTTTATTTATGAAACGTGTGATTGAAATCAAAACTCTATTCAATATTTTTTGGGTGGCCCTTGAAGGGAGGGCAGAATAATAAGTTCCACAGATGAGCGTTTCTAGGTTCTTTGTGACCGGATGAATCATCTCAATAACTTGAATCCACCTATTACTTTTGTTTCCCATTTTTTCTTAAATTTTCTACGTACACTGTAGTAGACATTCTGATATATGGAAGTGTTGTTCTCTTGGAGGATTCTTATAAATTATGCTTCGCTCAAAGTTCTATTTTCCATATTTTCTGTCACATGCCTTTTTACACACATTGGTTAGTTTATTTCCATGTCTGAATTTTCAGTTTTTAGTATTAGCCAGTTAGAGATGGTTAAGTGTAACTTTAGTTTCTATAAAATTTTCTTTCAAGTTTACTATGTAAAAGTATAATCCACTTTCAGTCCATATTTTATACAACCATTAAAGACTAAAAAGCACTTTTTTAAAAAATAAAATAAAATAATTGTCTAAAAGAATTCTAGACTCTTGAAATTTTGAAATTGAGCTTATCTCTAGACACACTCCACATCATGTGTTATTTGACATCTAATTTAAAAGTGCATCTTCGTATATTATTTAGTTGTATCGGGAGATGTATCTCTGAAATATTTTTTAAGGTCCTTTTATAGATATTGGAAGCGTGTTAATTGCAAGGGCAAATTATTTTGGAGATGCGGAAACCCCCTTAAATAGTTATATTAACGTAAAATCAAATTAAAATTGTTGTGAAATCAAGTTTAACTAAAGTTAATGAAAGTAGAAAGACATACATTAATTAAAAAATGCAACATCATACATAATATTTGTCTTAAAATACAAAAAAAAAAAAAAATACATCTAAACATAAATTACTGAGTATGTTAAACTCCTTGCATTCTCCTCCTTTGAGTATGTTAAACTCCTTGCATTCTCCTCCTTCGACTGTACTGCATAACATTAGGGATGTCAATCTGGTGGGGGACACATCCCCATCTTTGTCCCCGCCACTAAATTCATTCTCCGTCTCTAATCTCCGTCACGGGAAAGTTTCTATCCCCATCCCCGTTTCCTGCGAATCCATGCTCCCCACGGATCCCTGCGGATCCTAACATTTTATTTTTTAAAATATCTATATTTTCTATAAAAATTAAAGGCAGAAGTATTTTACATATTTATTTTGTTATTATAAAATACTAGTATTTCACATTTATTATTTTTTAATAAAAGTATTATTGAGATACAAAATAATATTTTTTTTATATAAAATTCTATAAAATGCTATAAAATTCAACAATATACATTATAATACTTAATATACATTATAATACTTTTTTAAAGTGATAGTATACCTAAACAACTAAAAAATTCTATATAAATTAATATTTATTTATTTTTAAAAATAAATAAATAAAAAAACCTAATCTTAAATATAAATTATATATATTAAATTAATTATATTAAAATAAATAGACGGGGTAGGGGATTCGCGGAGCGGTGATGTATTCCTAGACTCCGTTTCCGAAGTGCTGTCGGGGGAATTTTTCTCTCCATCTTTTGGGCCCCGAACAGGGAAATTTCCGCGAAGATCCTTGCTAACAGATGCAAATTGACATCCCTACATGACACTTCATAACTTGACAACCAAGTTCTCCACGATGGCCAATTCGAGGGTTGTTATCCTCAAAGAGTCCAACTCTATGCCTTCTCTACCCATCTCCACAAAACGTTGACAAACCGACATCACGCTCTTGATGTGGTCATCCTGAGCCTCAAGTAATTCCTAATTAGCAGACCTATGTGGTCTTTCAGGAGCGTCTGGTGTCATGATAGGGTGTAAAACCCTATAGAACCATGCCATGTAGTCGTCGGAAATAACCTAATGTATAGGAGAAAATACCCTACAATACTCCTCTAGTACCAGGTGACTCTCAAAATCGTCAAGTATCGCATTCAGATTTTTGCAGCGGACGGTGGGAGGAGCAGACTCATATGGGGGTCTCGGAATAATCTGTAGATAGCCAAATTGTCGCACCACTCACTCGGACAGATAAGTATACATAAGAGATAACCCACATGCCTGCCATCTGGAGTATAAGAAAATGACGTCAAATTGATGCCTCTTGTAGTGACCTCCGTATGGGTATAAACAAATGTCATTTGATACAATACGGTCAAGATGCACTTCGAGTGGCTCGACAACATTATTCCCCATGTACGGAATAAATGCGACAACACACAACCAATTCTTAGTGTAGGCAGACGCAACTTCAAATTCGGTGATGCGAGACAAGTAGAAGATGATTCATCCCTGAAAATGGTTCAGATACAATATTAATAACAAATGTAACAAATAAATTGTGATAATATTAGTAACTTTAAATTACTGTAAGCAACATGCAATTCTTTGTTATCTACTTTGTCTTCTAAAGACAACCTGGGGCCAACTTCGATTACAGGTAGATCAAACAGGCAGCCCCTAAATTGTACTCGTGAATCATAGTCAAGTTGATAAGTACTAAAGGTAGGTCACATCGACATAGATTATACTTTTGTCTACAAAAATGGACATACCAACTAAGAATAAGAGGTAATCCATCAATGCACAAGTCTAATGGTACTCAACTTGGATACCATCACCTTCAGCATTCACAATCTACTACAAGTGGTCTTTATAAAGCTTTTCCGAAAAACTAAATATTGCATGAACACCTCTTGTGTCAGCTGTCTCATGTGCGACCTTAGCTGGGTCAGTCCCCAAATGGGTAACCATCATATCCATGACTTATACTCTACCAAGCCTTCTGTGGCCCAATAATTTTCCCCTTATGGGAAGATGCATGAGGCATGAGACGTCATCCAAGGTGATATCCATCTCGCCTATAGGAAGGTGAAAATATGAAGTCTCTGAATGTCACCTCTCTATAAAAGTCATATGCATGTCGTGGGATATGACCATGTATGCAACATTGAATAAACCGGAAAGACTAGAATTACGAAGATTATCCTAAAACCAATCATTTGTGGGTTGCTCCAACTCCAATATCTCCCGCTCGTGGTTTACCGATATCAAACATGTACGCTCTTATAAACATAAAATATCACCATCAGTGCAAATTTAATTATTTGAAAACATACGTATTGCAAATGTAAAAAATGACTTTCCTTCCCATATATGACTTGCAACATGATCAACATATAGGTGAATGATGACTTCTCAGCAAGTGTATCGATAATGTCAAAGTAATATAAAAAGGTATCCTCTCCACGAGGATTGCAATTTAACAAGGTAAAACTTATGCGAATTAAAAATACATATGGGGGGTTTTCGAATGGTTTTTGCAAGAAATAAATTGGTTCTAGATTCAATAACGAGAAAACAATCAGGTTTTGTATAGAATCCCTTATTTATCCATTGTTAATGTTTAATGCATTACAAGAAGGAGAAAGTCATTATATTTTCACGATGAATTAAAAAAACCACTATACCCAATCCATTGGTGTATAGCTCACTAATTTCTACTAAAGGTCTCATATTCCTATTCAACCAGCGTAAGTGAAATTAGACAATGCAATAGTATGTTAACTCAAATGTCACTACTATAGGTCTCCTATCCCTATTCAACCAACGTAAGTACAATAATTGCCCTAGTTCCAATGCATAGACTAATGGTCAGTATTTCCTATGCACCCATAATCAGATTAAAAGAATGTCTCATATAAAAAAACATTAAGCATAAGAAGCAATTAAATAGAAATATAATTTTAATTATTCATGCACGAATAAATTAAACATATGTCTCAACAGGTTAAAAACAATTTTATCATACAAAATATGACATAGAGAAGTTTAGCTACTTATAACGATAAAAATAAATACCAAAAAATAAGATGAAGATTGCATATGAAAATCCTTGAAGAAACTGGCCTCAAATGGCTTCCAATGCTCCTAAAATCGCTCCCTTGGTACTCCTTGCCGTCACTTTCTGTCTCCAAATCAGAACCCTTAAAAGATGCCAAAAAACCCTTTATAAACCAGTATGAATGGGTTAGAAAAATCCTAGAAAAAGAAGATATTGTGCGGATAATAAGATGCATTGCGCGCGTGATGCAACTTTTACACTCTTATCACGCACGCGATGATGCATGATGCTACACATGATTATTCCAGTAGCTGCACACTTTTGTTTTTTTTTTCCATTAGATTTTATATATGTTTATTTCTACATACTTGGTCATTTTTTTCATATTTATTTGGTATTTATTCTTCATTTTTGCTCATCTTAGACGTGTTTTTCTTTGTTTCTTCGACAGAAAATATGCAATGATAAAGTGTCATCACAACGCCAAACTTGAATTGTTGCTTGTCCTCAAGTAACTTGCCTATACTACAAATTCTAAACAGAAAAACAATTACAACAATAACAAGTGAACATTACCATACGGAATTTGTTTTACCTAACCACCATTCTAGACTCTAATTGCAATCGGGAAAATTCATAAAACATCCCCAATCTCTGACAACTACTTAACATGTCTCTCATCTCATCATGACTTACTCAATTGATAGGGTAGTCTCTCATTCAACATGCAAAAAAATTTACATTGAGTTTGATCACGTTCCAATAGAATTCATCAAAGAAATCAAAACACACACACTTGAGGGCTTTTACGGTTGTAAAGTGGATTATGTTCGGGTAAGATATTTTCTTGGAAAAGTAAATTTAAACCTTTGGAGTTAGGTACCTATTTCTCCTGCTAATATCATACCAACTCTTTTCCTGATTAACGGTAATAGAGCTATTGTTATTGTGGTCCTCAATACTCATTATGCATTCTTTTTCTCCTTTTTTTTTGAAGAAATTATTTTTAACTTCTTATTTTCTCAATTTTTTTGAATTTTTAACCATTTTTTCTCTAGTACCCTAACCCCAAACTTAAACCTTACTCACTTTCAAGAGCAACCTCAAACTTATTCTT